ATAGCTTCAAAATGCATAAATAGAAGAGCATATTCCAAGTACGTTAAGTGCATATTCCAAGCACGTTAAGTGTAGTTTTGAAGCATATAGCTTCAAAATGCCCCAAAACCTTACGCATGAAAATATCCAAACATGCATTAATACTCTCAAGCATATTAGCTATAACTCTCAAGCATATTAGCTATATATCACAAGCATATAGCTATATACTCTCAAGCATATTAACTATATACATTTCTCCCAGTATTTTAATTAACTTTCTACCAAACTAAAATAATATTTATAACTCCACAACTCCAAATATTATTTAAGCTTTCATGGTAGTTCATCTGAAACATTAATCTCCATTACTATATAAATTTCCAACAGATCCACAATGCAATATGGACCCTGGTCCACGATACAAATTGCCGTGGAATGCTGCGCTGGTGATCAATCCTTTGGAGTCGGGGATTCTTCTTAGCATAGATAATAAATGACTAGATAATGGCTGTTTTATACAACTCTATTATCTAGTTAGTGATCATTAAAAAGTAGTGGATTGAGTTTATATCTTGTTCTATCCTTTGATCTCCTTAATTGGTGAACTTAAAAGTATTTGTTGCGTTATGATGTTATTGGATATAAACATAGAATTATGTTATGCTCATTTCTTAATGTTATTGAATATGTGAAGGAAAATAGGGAAGTAATTTGACACGGTTATCAGTATAATCCAGGCAGGTATATATACACAAACATAAATAGGGATAACAAATCCGTAATTGTATAATAAATTAATTGATAATAATGCAATATTACAATAGGAGGTTTATGTCAAATTTTCAAATCTATATATATTTTGGGTATGATAAATTAATTGATAATGGATAGACATTTAAATTTGAATTTATTACATTTATTTATTTTGAAACATAAAACTTTTACATCCAGCTTAATTGAATTATTATTCAATTAATTTTGATTTCGTGTTTGATCTCAGAACCTGAACTTATTAAAGGGTTATGAGTAATAAATAGAAAATTTTGATATTATAAATTTAAAATATTATTCAGCATCTTTTGATGCCTGGAAAAACAAATAAAAAGTATAATTCGAACCAATATTTTAATGATATTATAAAACTCGATCCTAAAAAAATTCTTGATTGTCAAAAAAAAAAAAGAAAAACTAAATAATTACGATAAATAAAATATATATAAAACAACAAAACATAATCTATACCTTGCACAATTTAATTTGGGAGCTAGATGAATTGACGCACTAGAGATAATTATTTCCAATACTAGTATTTTCACCCGTGTGATGCACGGAATGAAATTGTTATAATATATTAAGAATATTTAAATCGATAAGAGTTAATTTCACCAGAGATCGCTTATCTTTCTTGACAATTCTAAATTTAATCCTAGACTATAGTTATTAATTATTACGATTTATTCTATGTTATAATTCTTACGCTAATATTCTTACTATTATTATTAACACTTAATTACTTTTAGATATTATTTTTACTACTTATATTATTATTATTATTATTATTATTATTATTATTATTATTATTATTGTTGTTGTTGTTAGTTTCTTTTCAAGTTTTGTTAGTATATAATGGTCGTGAGGCACACAATAATAATATAACCATAATTAAATATTCTTGTATTGTATTTCGTGAGTCACAATAATAATATAACAATAATTAAATATTCTTCAATTCTAATATTCTTCTAGGATTTCTATTACCATCATTAATTATTTCCTAATTTACCATAATTAAATAATTTGACCAATTATAAAGAGAGATTATTAAATAATGCACGGGACAATTTTTTAATTAAAAATTTTAAAAATTCGTTAATAAAACATAATATTCTCATAGTTTTTTCTTAGAAACTATTTAATAAAGCATTTTTTATAGAAATTGGTGGGCCAAACCGCTTACGGCAGTTTGCGGTGGATAGATCTCGAAAAAATACGAGATTTCAAAAAAACATTTGTCCAAAACGGACAACCGAGTCAAAAGTTATGCCTTGCCAAACTTTTGACACATCACAACTTTAACCCAGAATTATTGTACGAATGGAAAATTAGAAATCAATATATTTTATTGGGAAGAGAGATTTTTTAATAATTGGGCGGGAAGTTAAAATTTCAGGATTTTGTTATTATATATAGTATAGATAGATAGATGTACAAAGGGAATTGTATTACACTATTTTAAAATTTCAGAATAGAATTTTTACCTAGAATTATTGTACGAATAGGAAATTAGAAATCAATATATTTTATTGGGAAGAGAGATTTTTTAGGAATTGGACGGCAAGTTAAAATTTCAAGATTTTGTTATTATATATAGTATAGATGTGCAAAGGGGATTGTATTACACTACTTTAAAATTTTAGAATAAATTTTTTACTCAGAATTATTGTACGAATAGGAAATTAGAAATCAATATATTTTATTGGGAAGAGAGATTTTTTAGGAATTGGGCGGGAAGTTAAAATTTAAAGATTTTGTTATTATATATAGTATAGATAGATAGATAGATGTGCAAAGGGAATTGTATTACACTATTTTAAAATTTTAGAATAGAATTTTTACCCAGAATTATTGTACGAATAGGAAATTAGAAATCAATATATTTTATTGGGAAGAGAGATTTTTTAGGAATTGGACGGGAAGTTAAAATTTAAGGATTTTGTTATTATATATAGTATAGATAGATGTGTAAAGGGAATTGTATTACACTATTTTAAAATTTTAGAATAGAATTTTTACCCAGAATTATTGTACGAATAGGAAATTAGAAATCAATATATTTTATTGGGAAGAGAGATTTTTTAGGAATTGGGCGGGAAGTTAAAATTTCAGGATTTTGTTATTATATATAGTATAGAATAGATGGGTGATTTTTATGTTGAAATTACAAAAAGGATTTTGAAGGAAATTTTTGAGTTGCCAACATGAGTATAATCAATCAGATTTTTGGAGTGTTATTGGAGGTGATGAAGCACGGGAAACTCCACGGTTGACTAAGCAGAAGAAGTGTCTAAAATCTGAGTATGCAATGTTGTTAAATATAATTTATAAATTTATTGATTGGCGAGTAAATAGTATGAGTGTGTTTGGTTGGCAGGTTTAGCGCCCAGATATGGGTATGAAAGTAATTTTTATTGTTTGATTGACTGGTTTTAAAACATCACTATGGGTTTGGAATATTCCATTAATGAAAAAAACTCATTCTCTTATTTGATATGGGTTTCATCCTTAGCCTAATCATTCTCATTCCAGGCAAATTATACAGTGCACCAGGAGCACAGTGCATTGTGCGCTCTGACCCAAAACGACGTCGTTTTGATCTTTTCACGTGTTTGTTGTTAAAAAAACAATTCATGTTTCGAATGTAAAGAATTGTATAATAGAAAACACAAAATTTTATACCTGAAAATACATAATTTTATACGTGAAAACACATAATTTTATACCTGAAAACACATAATTTTTATAACTGAAAATCCCCATGTTTCGAATGTACGGACTTATATAATACAAAACACATAATTTTATACCTGAAAACACATAATCTTTTTTTAAAAGACAGAAACCCCCTGTTTCGAATGTACAGAATTTTATACCTGAAAACACATAATTTTATAACAGAATACAAAACGACGTCGTTTTGGGAGGCGCGGGGCGCACAATGCTATGTGCGCCCACTGTGCGCCTTGGTGATTAACAGTCCAACAACAATGATGATTAACACAAGTCATCATCAACAATAGGAAAGGACAAACAACACACACACGCTAGCATTTAAATACCGAACTAGCATGCTTATCAAACGGGTAAACCAAACATAGTTCCAAAGAACACACAAGACTTATCACGGTTCAACGAATCACAATGTTGAACACTTAGCACGATTCAAGACACCAAAACCTACATGGATTCCTACCATATAGTTCTAGACATACGAAACATCAAGAAGACGCTCAAATAGTTCCACAAAAGAACATCGGGAAGTCAAAAGACCAAATACCGAGTCAAAAGAATCACGGGGAACAAATCCCCTAACGAGCCAACATTGTTCCCCGCGGGTGGAGCCACGGGTGGACCTCCACCCGTGGTTCTGCCCGCGGGAACCACTTCCCACCGGCTACGTACCCCGCGGGTGGGGCGGCGGGTGGTGCACCGCCCGCCGTTCCGCCCGCGGGTACACACCTTGTACCACAAATAATCCCTTCGGGGATTTTCAACTCCAAGCTCAAATTCAAGTCCAAAACTTGCCAAATCTCACAAAATACAACAAAATGACTTGAATCAAAGGAATAGCCAAGCAATGGCACAAATGAACCCTAATAACAAGCTCTAGATATGCATTTTCACAAGACAATGCATCAACACTCACATTTCATAGCAAAATCACATGTAGAATCCAATAAATCATCATATAGGTAAGAAAAATAGATTTTGTAGAGCATGAGTTACCACTTGAAGACTTATCCTGCACTTACAACACTCCTCAAGCTCTTAACAAGGTCCCCTTTCCACACCCACTTCAAGAACACACCAAAACATCATAAAGATTTCACCTTTAGGAAAAGATACCTTAGAAAACACTGAAAATACAAAAGGAGCTTAGATCTTACCCTCTTAGATGCTCAAAAGTAGGAAATGTAGAATCTTGAAGACAAACTTGGAAGATCTTGGTAGCCCTAGATTTAGCTTGGAGAGAAAGCTAACTAGCTTTTTAGAGAGAAGGGAGAGCTTATGATTTTGGAGAGTGTTTGAGAGAAATGAAATGTGTCTCTTAGGTTAGCTTGGAAGACTATTACAAGGGAAATGTCTTATTTACCCTTACTAAGATGAAATGTGTAAGGGAACAAGGGAACTATTCACAAAGCTTTAGGTACAACACTTGACTTTGGGTTGACTAGTCAATTACTAGTCCCCGATTATTGAATTTCAGGAATTAAATTACCAATTGGTATAAGATTAATTACTTAATTAATCCCTGGATCAAATGTAGGAAATTGGTGAGTGATGTGATAAAAGTCTTCCCAAGTAGCAGACTCCTTAGGAAGATTTGCCCACTGCACAAGAATTTGAGTTACAGCCTTATTGTCTCTCTTGACAAGCCTCTTGTTAAGCACAACCATTGGATGAGCAAGCATCTCCCCTTCCTGTCCCACCAAAGGTGGTTCTAGTTATGGAGAAACCTGGTTCCCAATCTTCTTTTTCAGCTGAGAGATATGAAATACTGGATGGATTTGTGCAGATGATGGTAATGCTAGCTTGTAAGCCACATGTCATATCTTCTCAATCACATGCTAAGGACCATAGTATTTAGATGTGAGCTTGATGTTTGATCTCACAGCCACTGAAATCTGTCTGTAAGGCTGAACCATGAGATAGACCCAATCCCCCACTTGTAGACTTCTTTCACTTCTCCTTTTATCTGCCTGTTGTTTCATTCTATCTTGAGCCCTTCTGAGGTTATCCTTGAGCACTGATATCATTTCCTCCTGTTCAAATAACCAGTCCCTCTCTCCAGTTCCTTGGCTAGCCCTTAGAGCCATCATAGGTGGTGGATAGCCAAAGAGAGCCTGAAATGGAGTGCACTGCAGAGAGAAATGAAAATTAGTGTTGTACCAATATTCAGCTAGGTGCAACCACTTGGCCCAACTATGTTTGCCTGTGGTTTGCTGAAAACCATGCACCTTAAGTATGTTTTTAGGCATTAATTGACCCTTTCAGTTTGTCCATCTGACTAGGGATGGTAAGCAGTGGACATGCTCAGGTGGATCTGCAATTGCTTGAAGGTGATTTGCCAAAATTTACTGAGGAATACCTTGTCTCTGTCAGTAACAATATCCTCAGGTAGGCCATGCAGCTTATAAACATTTTCAATGAACACCATGGCCACTTTATCAGTAGTATATGGATGGGTCAATGCAATAAAGTGGTTGTACTTGGTGAGCCTATCTACAATCACTAGGATCACCTCCTTCCCTTGGGACTTAGGCAACCCTTCAATGAAATCCATGGAAATACTCTTCCGTGCTTGCTCAGGAATGGCTAAGGGATGTAGCAATCCAGGTAAGGAAACATTCTTAGCCTTGCATCTCTGGCAAGTATCACACTTTTCCACTAACTCCTTCACTGACAGCTTCATCTTTTTCCAGTAAAATCAGCTACCACGAGCTCCAACTGATTCAATCGTGCCTCCATTGGAGGGCTCTGATACCAAATGTGATGGTTCTAGGGTTACAGAAAGGTTAGAGAAGGAAGTGAAGATTGAGAGAGAAGAAGGATTCTGAAATTGCATTAGAATGTTCAACAAAAAAACGGTTACAAGCTGTTATTCATTTTAATACACCAGCTGAAAACTTAAACGACATCGTAGGCTTCACTAACTAACTTGCCTCAACTAACTTCTCAGACGACGCCGTATGGTTTAGTTAGGCTCAACGATCAATTGCTTAGTTCATGCGACGTCGTTCTTGGCTGCTTCTTCTTTATTCTGCCTGGACATTCTCTTGAACCATTACACAAAGCTGAACCATTGTTGAAAGGTGATTTTAACAATTATTTGGGTTATGGCTTTATAATTGGAGATTTTGAGAGTGAAAGGAATTAAATTGAGAAAACCCAAAGTAAGTTGCTAATCTCAAATTTTTGTATGCTGGGCCATTGCTACAAGTAGCCGAAAAAGTCGTCTAGTGACAGAACAGGGTCAATGAGCTCAAATGTTCCACTAATAAATTTTGTTCAAAATAAATGAGTTAGATCGAATGCACCATCAACCACAAACCGAAGAAGAGCCAATTGGAGGATGAGGAAACTCATTTCAATCAAGAACTTGAAAATGCACGACAATTAGAGGAAGCAGAATAAGTTCGAACAGGGTATGGTAGTGATGAAGAAGTGAATGTAGAAGGAGCTGATTCTACTTTGTTGAATGAATTCAATTGAATGAAAGCTTGACAACTATAAAGCCATTATTTTAGGGGGGGAAATTGAAGTTGAAATGGATCTTGATATGCCTCATACATCCACTGCCATGACAGACCCCCCTGAGGAACAATCTTGTCAAGGAGAAATTAATCAACAAGATGGCCAAATTTGAATTATTCTCGAAGAAGGTAACTCTCACAACTCTCATGATTTAAGTGTTGTGTTGTCTCTTGATATGAATGTTGATAGCATGACCCTATTGAAAGATTGAATGGACTCAAAAAGAGAGAGGAAATAGTACCATTTTTTTTTATTATGAAAGAGGGTCGAATAATAATGGTGGAAATGGAGAAAATGCTTTGACACTATTGTTAGCCAAGTTGGATGCTATGCAACAAGGTATTTGCTCCAAAGTTGGCGAATCTTTTTCAAATCAAAAGGAGCTTATAGAGGACAATGGAGACAAACTCTATAAGAATGTGGAGATACTAATTGAAAATAACAAGAATTCGCAAGTTGAAGTTGGAAGAATTGCAAGAAAAATCCAAGATAAGTTGGACTCTCAAATGGGAACTTTCTAAAGGTATTGGAGGAAAAAAAACCAACATAATGAGAAGTTCATCACAGCTCAAAACCAAGAACTTCTTAACGTCTTTCATCAACAACAAATCCATATGCGTGAATTGCAGAACCAAGTGGAAGCCAATATAAAATGGGAATATATATATATATATATATATATATATATATATATATATATATATATATATATATATATATATATATATTTGTACGTGAGATAGCTAAAAGACAAAGAGAAAAAGAGAATAAATTCAATGAATTGAATTATTGATTGATGAGTGAAAAATACAAAGCAAAAGAGCCTAATCTATTTATACATATCAAAGAAAAGAGTTGTTGGGAAATTACATGAGGGAGAGCCAAAATCGGAGAACATGTGCGAACTTGGAGGATGTAATTAAGCATGCAACGTGGAAGACTGTCTTCATGGATTTGAATGGACTTTGAGCCGCAAACATTATTTCCTAACAATCTCCACCTTGGATCAAATCCATTGTGGAATTAACAACATAGGACTAGTCGACTAAACTCAAGTACTGCTTGAACTTAGCAATAGGAAGAGCTTCAGAATAGCAGGATGGATCACCATCAATCTCCTATGTGACTGAAAGAGCATAATTAAGAAACCAAGTTGGTTTCATCATCACTGATATGAACCTAGTCCAAGGTTCAAATAAGGATGGAATATTGTCCCAAGAATGCTGTCAAAAGTAAAGATAGAGATGGATCAAAATACCTTAAACCTCACGAGAAACCCTTTGTCTCGAATCCTCAAAGACTTAGAAGAATCCCATTGTAGCTTCAAGTACCTTGATGATGCAATCTTCAATCAACTAGAGTCGGATCTAGTTTCCTTCGATTCAAGAACGAATCCACGAACCTAAATCTATGGTTGAAGAAAGGAAGATTGATTCGAGTCCACGAATCAATTTTCTAGTCGAGTCCACGACTAACCACTAATTGAGTCCACAATTAGCCATAAGGTTTCTTACACAAGTGTAAAGAAAAACTTAAGAATTTTATTGATTGAAAGCCTCCTTCAAACTGCTATGGATGTGCCCTATTATAGGTATAGGGCAGCATTATAATCCTAAATACAATGGAAAAAAGAGTCCTAAACCTAATCTAGAAAGCAACTAAATATAGTCCTATATAGAAAGGGATTTAAGGAATCCTTTCTAAATACAAACTAGTGTTTTCTCTTTAATTCCAAACAATTTAAAATAATGATGACAAAAAATAATAAGGCTGATTTGGGCCTAATTTAATCTCCAAAATCAGCACTTAAACAATTATAAAAAGCCTTGAGTTCTTCTTCATTTTTGCAAATGGGCTTGACTTGGATTTCCACCATCTTTGAACATCACCAATGAAGAGTTGCCTTAATTGTTTGGACTTGGGCCTTGTGATTGGCCCAATAATTGGTACTCTTAATGGATCTTCATAATGTTGGGCCGCATCATCCTCCCCTTCTTGAAAATGATTCGACCTTGAATCTTGTAAGCATTGTCTTTGATCCATGATATCACTTGAAATGGGCCACTATAATACTTTCCTCTATCAAATGGAATTATTTTTCGACTTTCTTGTTTCTTCCACCAATGATGCTTGAAGGTCGTAGTTATGGGCCTTGTGATGAGCCCACTATAGACCCTTATTGGATTCCATGTGTGCTGGTTCCTATTAATCACTAGCATACCTAGCAGGTTTTTTAATTGTCATCCTAGGACGATCCATAGCAATGAAATACTCTCGTTGTGGCTCGACGAGAGGTGCGATACTAGTAGAGGCATCATCTTTAGTATTACCATAAGTGGTAGTAATAATATCAATAAGCCTGAACTCAAACTTCACATTCTCACCAGTCCTCTGCGTCTCATCTGTACTGGGAACTTTTCCAAAAGAAAGTGGTGCATTTTCGTCAAAAGTGATATCTCGACTCAGAATGATTTTCTGAGAATCAGGAGACCATAGACGATACCCTTTTGACTCATACGCATAACTAGGGAAAATGCATTTGATAGCTCTCAGGTTTAATTTACTCGTACTAGAATGAGCATAACCAGGGCATCCAAAAACTCTTAAGATATAGTAGTCAACAGGATTACCTGACCAAACTTCCTCTGGAATTTTGAAATCAAGGAATGAATGTGGAGATCTATTTACCAAATAGCAAGCAGTAGAAACGTCCTTGGCCCCAAAATCACGCCGTTTCCTCAACCCAGCATTAGAGAGCATACAATGAGCTCTCTCTAGCAGAGTCCTGTTCATACGTTCGGCAACACCATTCTGCTGGGGTTTACCAGGCAAGGTCTTGTGCCTGTCGATTCCATTTGCCGCAGAGAAATCATTGGAATCTGGCTCACAGAACTCCAAGCCATTGTCTGTCCTGAGCTTCTTGATTTTTTTCCCTGTCTGAGTCTCAACAAGTATTTTCCACTTTTTGAAAATAGAAAATTCTTGATTTTTTTGTTTCAAGAAATAGACCCAGACTTTACGAGAAAAGTCATCAATAATAGACATAAGATATCCCAATAGACTGGAATTTAGTCAGTCCCCATAAATCAGAATGTATATATCCCAATACCTCTTTGGTACGGTGTGTAGCAGTAGAGAAACAAACCCGATTCTGTTTTCCAAAAACACAATGCTCACAAAATTGTAATATACCCGTACCTGAACCTCCAAGGAGGCCTTTCTTTCTCAGGAGATGCATGCCTTTCTCACTCATATGCCCCAGACGCATATGCCATAGTTGAGTGAGATCCGCATCAGACATCGATGAGGATACTGCTACTGAACCTGTCATAGTACTGCCATGCAAGACGTACAAGATTCTAAAACGAGAAGTTTTTATGAGAACAAGAGAGCCTTTTATAACCTTCAAAACTTCACCTTCAGTTATGTACATGCACCTCAGAGATTCCAAGGTGCCCAAGGATATTAGATTGCATTTCAAATAAGGAATATACTGAACATTGGTAAGAGTCCTGAAAACGTTATTGTGAGTTTTAATCTGCACACTTCCAATTCCACTAACCTTGCATTGTGCATCATTACCCAGCAAGTGACGTAACGCTTTTCTTACGGTTCTCATTTTTTATAGCATTGACAAAAGATTAAGTGTGCATGGGTTATATATGGAATGGTAGATGGGATAAAACGGGGAGTGAGAACCACCCCGAGTGTCGTACTAAAGGAGTGATAACATGGAAGCGTTGAGTGAGTGATATGGTGAGGATTTTTGGGCTTATAAATTCTTGGTCAAGGGGTTGCATTATCAAGTTGAGATGGATGAAGATACCAGATAAAAGAACATTAACAAAAGTGAAAACAAAAGAAAGAAAGATGGGCTCGGATTGTGTGCCGATTGTATTGTGTAGTTAGCTACGCCAAGGGTTGAGTGGTGGAATGATGTTGTGACATTGGCCAAGAGAGATGGGTGCTAATGCGTAGCCAATTCTGTCTATACGCCTTCTGTAGGTAGATATGACACCCAGGTGCTCATTTCTTCAACGAGGCAAATAAGTAAACACCTTGCCTACATCCCTTTGCGGGTCTAATCCTCTTGGATCTAGGACGGGAAATGCAAGGGAAAGGAGGCTAGGATTATGTCACAATCTCTTGACAACATAA